CACGAGGCCGTCAGGCCGAGTGGGGTTATTTTCTCAAGTGACTTATTTGTAATTAACACACGTGCACCATACAAAACTTTATCCTCCACCTCCTCAAGCTGGTTTAAAACGTGGAAATCTTAAAAACTGCGTGTTCCGCGAAAAGCTAGAGTGCATGGAATACAAAAGCAATAATTCGTTGCTATGGGGAATATAATAAACAACAAAAAATTTAGTCAGAAAATTTATATGGATTTACTTATGGTTCCTGTACTTTATCTTGCTAGTGAGTTATTTTACGTCCATAACTCATTAGTGGGTTATATTATACCTTACTCGTTTAATTTCGTCATGATAATGACTGGATAACATAGAGGTGTTGGATAAAATAATAAAAACTTCATTATTGTTTTGTCTTTGTTTTCTAATTCTTATAGCCTTCCTTATAATTTCAGATAGAATTAAAAGTAAAACAATGATACATCTATACTCTTCCAGTCTTGTCTTACAGTTTTATTTGCTTGTGAAAGATTTTGAATATACTGCCATCAAAACTTAATAGTATATTAAGTATGGAGAACGGTAAGGGATTTTTACCGTTCGAAGACAATTATTGTCTGAGAACGGTAACCCTTAACGTTCGACGTGCTTATAACATTTTTTGCGCGATCGAAATTAAAATTATCCAACCAATATAAATATGCACTAAGAAATTAACGAGCAGAATAAATCGAAATAATCGAAGTGGTATGGTGTACATCACTAGACTAGGTAACCAGTTTAAATGTCAAAATTGAAATTAATAATTTCATAAAAATGTGCATGTGTCTGATGTAGTTTACTAGCTTTGCACTTCCTTTATGACTTTATGAGCGTCTTGCTATAGGAAACAACAGCACAAATTGTACGTTTAATGTACCTAGCAATAATTAAAGATTAAATGTAATGTAAGACTGTTGATTTTTAAAAAGGCGTCGGTAAGTATTTTTGCTGTTCTGTTTTTAGATCGGTAAGTAATTTTGGCGTCGTCGTAATAATAGCAACTGGTAAATTCTACGTACTGTCATGGAAACACCCATGGTAAATAGTCAGAAATGACCGATCGCGCAAAAAAACTATTAACAATAAATTAATTATAATAAACTATACATTTTAGCACTTAATGAAAATGTAGCTGTAATAATCTATTCCTTACAAGTCTTCCCTCTTATCAATACACCGTTCAGCCTCTATATTACATTTTGCACACTTTTATGTGTTCTATTGTAATTTGCCTCTGCTACAGTTAAATGTGGAGAGTTTATAAGTCATAAGCCAGGGTTCTAAAGGATATCCCGAGTCTCCTTAAAAAAATATATAAAGTTTATCTTTTCCGTACGTATTATTACGAGTTAGTTTTACCAATAAGCCAGGAATTTGTATTGCCATTAAGATGCATATGTTCTAATTTGGCTAGTTGTCCAAATTGCCGAATCATGTACAGACCCTGGATAACGAACATTGACTGCCAAAATTTTTAGATTTGCATTACATATCTGCGAAACACTAGATAAATATCTTAAAGCTTAACTTCCTACTATTTGTACATTCAAACTGTAATATCCCTTCCTGTTTAAGAACACAATTGCTGGATAATTTAAATCATCCACAGGTGGTGAGGATATACCAATGTGCGTGCAATCAATTGCTCCGATTATCCCAGGAAATCCATTTTGCACCTGCATGAATCTAATAATTTTTTTATTACGATAATCATTTATTCTAAATCAGTTCTACTATTACCTTTGTTTTTCATCTTCACATTCCGCATTAGTTGTTGGAAATTTAATAAGATGGTAAAAGTGCTCCAAAGCAGTATTAATATCATATGCATCTACTTATAGATGACTGGCTCATGTGAACAAAGAAATCTTTACCTACCGACTTCTGGTAATTTCCTTGGGCAAAAAAATGTAATGCCACTATAACCTATATAACAGTATAAGATTGTAAAATGTTTTAGATACCTAATCATACCCACTTTCCTTGGTTTAGGTATAAACAAACTGCCTGTGTGTTATCGGATAAATGAGGAGAAAGTGCAGTAATAACATGAGCCGACTGTCTTGATAATCTATAAATATTTTGAAAAATTATATATATATATATATATATATATATAAAAGATTAAAATAAACAACTGTCTAGCAAGTGTTAAAATTGCTTGCCTAATTTTTCAATATTGAAAAGAATATTGTTGGAATCTTTTCAAGCATAAGGACCCCCTGAATACCAATACACCAAAAAGTTTCAATAATTGAAAAGTTTTCAATATTGAAATTTACACGTAAACGTAAGAGTTTTTTTCTGAATTTTTTCAACCTCCATTTGTTCTTACCCAAGGATAGGTACACTTTTGGGTTCCTGGGACCTTAATTTATCTAATGACAAAGCTGTTTGAGACGTAGATCGCCACATTTATTTAGTGAGCTCACGTTTAATAAAGTGAGGTTATATTGTCAAATATTTGCATGCCTTTTTCTAGAATTTGATAAAAAAAATGCCTGGAAAACTCTATTGGATACTTTATTTTGATATAGGTCCCCATTTTTCAACAAAATGCTCACATATATCAGTGACAAGGAAGACCTGCAAATTCGAAGACCTAAGAGGTGAGCGAGTTGAGAAAATGGACGTAATTATTCAGATCAGCACAATGGCGAAGAGTGAAATCCAATTCTATGAAATCTAAACTAAATCCTGACGTTTCCATGCCTCTACATTCTGGAGGCATTGTGTTACATTAAAAAACATATTGCTTTGGCGAAACCGCAATCAGAAGTGCATTCTTATAATACCCGGTTAAAAGATAATCTTCGATTGTCGTTTTGTAGGTTAGCCAAATCACAGAATGGCATAACATTCCAGTCGCAGTCATTGTATAACCGGTTACCCGCAGATATAAAGCATTTACCGTTGAAGACCTTTAAATCTAAAGTAAAGCAAACAGTATTCTTTTTACTCCTTTGAAGAATTTGAGGAGTTTTGTGATAATTGGGTGTAACTATATATATATATATATTTGTCCAAAGTATTCTACGCGCTTAGGCAATTGTGGGTAAAGTAGATCGTAAAACGTTTCGCGCGCAAAAATAGTAAGCTCGTAGCCGCTACTGAGTATCATTGTCATATAAGCGCGCAGCATCACACTAAAAATATCCTATATAAGCTTTTATAAACATTTATATCTGTTATAGCTTCGTAATTACGGATTTGTCATTTAGGTGCGTATTATTTTGTGGCCATAATATACGTGTTACGTAAGTTGCCTATATTGAAGTATGGAACATAAATTTGAAATCCTTTCAATTGCATGTTAGTATTATCACAGTATAAATGTATTATTTACGAGTATTAGGCCCACATCATTTAAGTTGAAGTTAGTAGGTACCTACGCCTACCTCTTCTTATATGTGTTGATAGGAAACGAACTTAGGGTAATATTAGTACTCCATGCGTTTAAAAAGGGATATAGGTTAGTAGCTAGGTACTTACCTATACTTACTTATCTTAAAATAGTTTGTAGTACATATTTGATACAGGAGGCTATATATTAGTTCGTTGGAGAGCACAACTATTCGTCAAAGTTATCACTAGAGTAAAACGTTTTAAGCCAGTAGCGCAGGTTTTCGAAATTTCACGGGTGGGAAAACATACAGACTAAGTTCGGAATGGAAAATCTCCCATAATCAGAATCAGTAAACAAACATAAAAGAAGATGCATAGGAATAATTAGATTAAGCTGCAAGTTGAGGTAATAATAAATTGTAACAACCTTTGGTTGCTAAGTCTGTATACTGAAAAGTTGTGTACCTATCTTCCAAATAAAATAAAAAAATCGTTAACCATGTGAAAAATGTATTTTTTCTTTTATTTTTGTATCATTGCTAAAGTTCCGCATGGTAAGTTTTACCATAAAACAAATCAGCAGTAATGGGTGCATATTGAAATTAAGAAATTTCTCCCTTTACCACAATAAGTTTGAAAAAAATACCTAAATACGTATTTCGACCACTAAGTGGTCATCATCAGTAGGGTAAAATTCACTGGAGATTGATCGCGAAAAGTACGCTCGTCAGGATAATTCCCGTGTCCGGTAAGGACAAATGCGAAAAACGCGCCAAAATCTGCAGTAAACTTTTTTAAAACTTATTGTGGTAAAGGGAGAAATTTCTTAATTTCAATATTTTTAAACCACACGTTCCATTGATTGAGTAATGGTGCAATCTAATAGTTTTTGACATGAAGTTATTTAAAACATATTGCGAATATCTGAAACTGTCTATAATAGCCCTGTTGTACAGGTAAACCATCATTGCAACATAATCGTTACAGAATAGGTTCCTTTATCGGAAAGCGATATGTTCATCACCGGTACATAATACTTTACATCCTTGTGCCATAATACATTCACTTGTAGAAAAATGAAAATAATCAAGTGCATATGAAATTCCTAGTTTTTTGATTAGTGCAAAATATAGCTGCTAATGAGAACTATTAAAGCTGCAAATCATAGTTGAAAATCCCCATCTCCTATAATGATCCACTAAAGGAACCTTTTGCCAAAATTTCAGATCAATAGCATTTTGCATTTAAAAGAAGCGAGAGAACAGAAAAGCAGATGAAGATACTTTATCATGCAATGATCCATTACTACCAAAAAATTTGGGATCACTAGAAATTTTCATCTATGTTGTAAAGGATTTAATGAATCTGCCTAGTTTAAACTCCAAGCGCTACTTTTCAAAATGTTTTTGAGAAATGCAGTGACCATTACACTCAAATTAATGATGATTCCCTTACATGCAGAATCGAGACATTCTAAACTTTGCAAATGTAATTCACAAATAGGTGGCTGCTTGAACCATGCCCGCAAGGACTATAATTTTGCATGTGCATTACTACAGTCGCCCGTATTGTTTAAGAACCAATTCGGGGTTTTCATCAACTTGTATATTTGAGATTAAACAAAAATGGAACACTGAAATTAATAATCATTTAATTTAGAAATTTCATTCAAAATACACCAAACTTAAATGTGATGACATTTACAAAAACATATTTAATTAAGGTTGTATACAAGTATAAAATATCAGAGAAAAATCAAAAAAAGGTATACAATCAAGACTTATAATTAATATTTCCGAATTTTGGCGTCATTTCAACACACACAAAATGCAAACCAGTGTTCCAAGTACCATGTTACTAGAACTATGTATACCGCAACAAACAAATGTAAAAAAAAACAATCTTGAAATTTTTCAAAATTCAAATTCTTGTAGCAATTACAAAATTACGTTCTCTTCATACGTTCCATTTCATTGGCAACTGCAGTCTTTATGGCGGCGATAGTTAAATGTTGAAAATCAGGAAAGTTATCCTTTGCAGCAGCGCACTGACTATTAGAAGGCAATTTTCTATACTTGAAATTATCTGCAAATACTTTCTTCAATTGGAACATCATGTTTGGGGTCCAACGTGTCCTCCTAACTGTGAAAATAATATTTTAGAAATTTAAAAATTAGTGAAAGGTAAAAGTTTACCTTTAACGTGCGGAGTTTCGATATCGTGTGGAGTTTTGATATCTTGAAGTCTTTTTCCACGTTGACGTACCAGTTCATTGTGAAGCCATGTTTTAACTGAAGTCGGAGAACGCAGCTTTAGTTGTGTAATGAGGGGAAGTTTTTGGCATATTTTTGAAAGCGACGGAAGCTTATTTGATAACAAGTACTTCTTAAAATGCTCAGATGCTGCTTTTATTTCTTCAGGTGTCCATGACCGTTTTGGGCCGCATACACGTGTTAATCCTATCAGAAGAAAGGATATGTAAATGCAGTCAAAATTATAAACGAAACACTTACCATTAATATGTTTGCCTTTCTTTTTAGTCGTCGATATACAATCATCATCAGAAGATGAATCATCACGAGGTGGGTGGTCATTGTGGGGCGGAGAATCTGAACTGCTTACATGTGTTGTCGAAGTAGTCGTTTCCGTATTGAAGTTAGTGTTCTCCAAACAATCAGCTGTTCCAGAAATACGCATTTGCTGTACTTCATTATTTTGCAAACTTGAACCCGCTTCTTTATCATAAGCGGCATTTTCTGAATTCTCCATTATGGGTTCATTATTACTCGCACTTGTTTCATGTATATAGTTATTATCACCCTGTATCATTTCTAAGATTTTGGACATTTGTAAGATATCCCGTTTCTCTACCGGCCTCCGATAAATATTGTTGTGGATGTCCACAGCATGACCCATAAAATTAGCGACATCATGTATTACATTATCAGCGAGATCATTCAAAGCACACTCAGTTGCAATTTGTTTTCTCAAAAAAGTAGCACGTAACAGGTCAGATCTTGAAGCACCACAAGTATTGGAATATGTTCGCAAAAGGTAACAAGCACGTAAATATTTATGTCGGCCATCATTTGAAGGGCAAGCAAAAACATAGGGATTGTCAGAAGAGATGCCAAGTTTTTCCCGATTTTGTATAATTAAATTAATGCATGCTTCGATTTCAAAGTCTACCAGAACAGGTACAGTTCGATTAAGTTTGCCACGTATCTCAAAGCGTTTATAACGATTTGCTAAACGCGCATCATCTGGATTTGCTTGAAAATGGCCACCCAATGTGGAAATAGTATGTGCAGACTTCAAGTTGGCAAAATCTGTAAGAGTTATGCGTTCCAATTCACCTGGACGTCTGCGATTAAAAACCATTAATGAAACAAGAGTATAAGAAGCAAGTTGTTGTAAGGCATATCTGAAATCTTGCACATTCCCTCGACGAATTTTTGAAAACCATTCTCTTCGTTTAAGTCTCAAAAACGAAACTAACTTTTTTACATCATCTTTCATAGGCAACTCGACCACCTTATGACGCTGTTGCTCAACACGATTTTCGATGGCGGTTCTACCTAATTCCGCAGGAAATGAAACATTGAAAAGAACGAGAAAGTCTTCCACCTTCTGTTTTGCAATAGGATCAGAGTTCTTAATACATTCGGTTTTCCAAATGTTACATGCTTGCTTACATACAGTGGACAATGTAAGAACAGTTGTTGGAGCTTTGTAATGTGTATTAGTAGCATTTAGACCTCCCACTTGTTTTATAGCAGCAATGGCGACATCAAATTTTTCTGGCGTTAACAAGTTCACAAAATCCTTTATGGTGGAGTCCATAGACTTTGCCACGATTAATAGACGCCCAATAGATCTCAATTTATTCCTGATCATGTCGTGATGATGTTGCAAGGAATACTTATTACACATATAATTTCCATATAATACTGCCAACAAATCGTATCGAATAGACTGTACGCAATCATCATCACGAAAAATTGAAAATATCTTTGTTTTCAAAAATTCACTAGCCCTTGGATGTAGCTTACACAGTAGAGATCGACTTGCAGAAAGTATGTTTCTCTGACCTGTAACTTTTGCAGGAATACAATGTTTGGCATGCAGGCGTAGAGTTGTCTTGTTAAAAAAAGCAGCACAATGTGGACACGGTACATAATCTTTAGAATTACAATCTGACTGTGAATGTGAACGTCTTGCTACAAATAGGTGACCCGAATTAAAATCAGTAGAAGTGTTGTGCACAAAATCTCCACGCCTTCTGATGGTTTCTATGATTTTCCTTCTCTCAGGAGATTCTGAAACGAGAAAATTGTTGTAGTCATTATCACTAGTACATCAAAGGTGCTACAAATTCTCAGAATTCAATAGCGAAGAGTGACTTTCAATTTGGTAAATCTGTCCCATGTTAGAATGTATATACAGGGCGAGCCTCTAATTTGCAGCAACAAATTCAGTACATTAAAGATTTTTATTTTCGGCAATATGTTCCAACAGGTTGTTTAGTCTTTTTAACTATGCTCTTCTTTATGTAATAAAATTTTGTAGAAGGTGTACCAATTTGAGATATTAGAAAGATGTTGAGAAAACCGCAAAAAACTGCAGGTAGGTGTACTTTAACAACGTTCAACAATGCTCATTAAACTATGGTCACCCATAACAGTTTTATGCTCATCTAATTGAAACAATTGATTGCGCCTTAGAACTTAGAACTGAATTACAAACTTACTAGTTTACGTTGGTTAAGCCATGGCGTAATTAAGATAGATGGTGTGTACATAGAGCGACTTAAACTCGTAACCGGCGCGCATGACGTCACGTTCGAGATTCGAGACTCCGAACCATGGCGTAAAGTTTGCTACCTACTTCGTATTTTTTTAAATCAGGGCTTTGATAATGGCGTATGCTTTACGGCTCCCGTGTGGTTAGGCACCCATCGGGCGCGTCCCCAGGTGGCGGATAGGGGGAGGCCCACTCAAACACCTGAATGATCGTGAAGTGACTCGTGATTTTGTGTGGGTAGCGGCGATTATAAGTGGCTCGTCTGGGATAAAATCCAGACTGGTAGCGGCGAAGACGTCGCCGCGGACCAACCTCCCAAGTCAAGGTGTTAGCAACCGTGCCAAGGACTGCGTTGCACTGGGGTGCAGTGTCGATAACGGTGCCCCTCGGATACCGGGCGACCTCCGAGTGGTGGCTCCCATCCATCGGGAGGGGGCTGGTAGCCAAGCCCTGGGCAAGCGGCTCTGCCCAGGTGAGACCGCTTTTCCGCATTACTCGTGGGAATTGTATGGACTTAAATCTTAACATATCCTGTCAGGGCTCCTCGTCAGAGGGGACCAACAAGCCGAGCCCTCAAAAGGGGCCTGGTAACGGAGTAGGCTCCTCGAACGAGGGGACAGCTCCAACGCAGGGCCTTGCTCAAGGACCTGGTAGTGGGCCAGCTCCTGTTCGTAAGAAGAACAGGCCTGGTGCACAGAAGGCGATGGCCAGGAAGCGCCGGATCGAGGGTAAAACCTCGGGCCAAGCAGGACCTGCGCCAAAGGCTAAGGCTGGGGCTGGGCCGGTGGCTCAGGGGGACAACCCGACGACAGGGACCAAGCGTCTCAGATCGGAGGGAAGTGCTCCAGGGTCTGGCTCAGGGCAGCCTGAGAAGAAGCCCAAGAGCTCCGGTGCACCTGTAGCTGCGGGTGCACAAAGGACCTATGGGCAAGTTGCTGCAGCGGGGCTCAGGGTAGCCATTGTTCCGGTGTCGCACCCGGACGTGGACATCACTGAGCCTCAGTCGCAGTGCATTATGGCTGCATTGAATGCAGTCGTCGACGAGATGGAGGGGGGGCCCTTCCCTCGGCTGGCAGGGTTCCGCTGGAATCCGCAGGGTGCCATCGTGGCCGAATGCGAAGACCAGTGGACCTTGGACTGGTTGGAGAGGACTGTCCCTCTTATCAGGCCCTGGGATGGTGCTTCTCAGAAGGTGCAGAGGCACGTCCCTAGGGTAACCAAAGTGATGGCTGTGTTGCACGGGCTCCCGGATGACACGGCCATCATTTTGAAGCGCCTCCAAAGGCAAAATCCTGGTTTCAGGTCGAGCCTATGGAGGACGTACTTCCGCAAGGAAGAGCCTGGTAGGGTACTCCTCGCATTTGGTGTCGACGAGGCATCCTATCAGGCCCTCCAGCGGCAGAAGTTCCAGGCGTACGCGGGGGTCTCGCACGTCACGTTTGTGACAAAAGCGGGGGCTCCGGCTGCGCCAGGAAAGGGACAGGGCTCCACCGAGGTGGCGGGACCCAGTTCCGTTGCGACGGAGGGAGCTCAATCCCTCGATGTAGACCTCGAAGGGGCCGTGGTGCCCTCAGAGGTTATACAAGATGTCGACGAGCTTTTGGCTCGTGTGGCGGCTCTCGGCTCCGATAAGGGGTCGGAACCGTCGGCATCTCTAGGGAAGGGAGGAACTTAGTACATCAGTGATGGACGAGGTAACTTTCTTACAGAGCAATTTGCAGCACAGTAAGGGGGCGACCTGTTTAATATCCCAACTCAGCAACTCAGGCTAAACAGGGTCCTAACGGGCTCTGAACCTAGTTGCGAAGAAAGGGGGTAAGCACAATGGGCCTTTGATGTGCCTAAGTGCTGCCTTGATGGGCTCCCCTCATGAATAGAATAGAATGCTTTACGGCTTACGCTATCGAAAAAGTAAAACTCATCCGTATAACTAAAGTGTTGTTCAATTGTGTACACAAACACGTACTTGGGTTAGGCTTAAAACGCAAAACAAATACTACACAATAACAGCGACGTAGCTAGTAGACTAATTATAAATTAATTCATACTTCATAATGTACCGTGTAACTAGGTACTAATAATTTTCCTCATTTTCTTTACAATTTTCGATGTATCTGCTCTGTTTACGCCCTGAAAACGAAGTGTAAATTGTTAGTTCTGATATAGGTGCGTGTTCTAACAAGGTATCGCAAAAGTTCTTCCGGAAAATTTTAAAATTCCACTTTCAACGAACTTAAAATTCTCGTCACAACCAATGGGTTTTTATCGAAGAAGTCTCCATGTAGAATGATAAATTTGAATTCCATACTACGCTATATTCATTAATATATCAGAGGGGGATTAATAAGTGAGAAAGTGAAAAAAGCTAACTCCTGTGGTATTTCTATTACTATTATAACATCCTCCTACTGCACAATAAGGCATTGTGAGAACAAGTTTTTAGGAATTTGTTAAATAACGCTCAATTGTAAATTTGTTACACCGAAGCGCTATCTTCGAGACTCGAAGATGACGCGAGACTCGAAGATGACGTCACACGAGCTGCGCGAAGTTACGGTATGCACACACCCTCTATATTTACGCCATGGGTTAAGCATCCATTTTTGAGAGTGAAATATGCTTTTAAAGTGAACAGAAACAACTCATTTTTAACCAAAAGGCAACATACTGAAATTTTCAATGTATTGGGTTATGGAGAATGAAGGACGCAGGCAGAGTTTGAAATTTGTTAAAAATAGATGAGTGACTAGATTAATGAGCATTGTTAAAATACACCTACACACCGGTTTTTCGCAGTTTTCTCAACATTTTACCGGTGCAAGCAGATTAATATTTTAAATTTTTGAAAAAAGAATAAAACACTCGACAAATTTAATCGAAAAATATATCTTGTCATAAAATTTTTTTTCTGTTGCGCTTACTTTAAAAAAATTAAAAATTAATATATTATGACAAATTAAATACCAAATAACTTTTATTTGAACAATTTTTCGATAAAACTGATATTTATGAAGAAATATATATGCACAATATTCCATACTTTCAAAGGCACGCTGGGCAATGGACTTTCGCTTTCGCTTAAGAATGCACAGAACTACCAGCATGCTTATCGTGATTCAAGTAAGGTTAATACAGTAATGTATGGATAATCCTAAAGGAGGCGTTTATAGTTTTTAATAGCCTACTAATTCACCGAGAGGCTTTGAAAATCAACACTGAACTATCAAAAATTGTTGAATAACAAAAAAAGTTAAAGGTACCGACATGCTTATATCATTAGAAAGGTAATCAAATCCTACATTTGATAGAATAAAAAAACTTGGTATATTAAAAAAATTTCTGTAAAGCCCACGGAGTGTGCTAGGGAGTGCGCTTTAACTTTTTTTTAGTTTTTTGAGAAAAATTTGGAAAAAAGAGGCTTGTTTGCATGGAGGGTTTGAAATTCCCCATGAAATGCAAAAGGAATTGACCAATTTGGTCCACTACACGCTGAGAAAACCTTGACGGACGGACAGACTTTGTGAGGACAATAGTGCACTTTTTTTTTAAATGTTAAAAGTGCACTAAAAATCAAGTTGTCCTCGATAAAAATTTTTAATATTGATCGAGTGATTTTTTTAAAAGTAACTAACTGTTCGGCGTATATTAGTACATTTCATGATTAGTAACACTGAAGAATCTCAGCCTTTTAAGTTTTATTACAACTGCGATATTTAATTTTTACTGGGCAACTCTTTTAAAAAAATTACGAATTGCAACGAAACGACTCATTTTAGATAGCATGTGATACAAAGTCACACTAAAATTGAACAAAGGATTGAAATATGCGATAATAGACAGGGGATTCTATTTAAAAAACCCAACTTCGTTATAAATCACCTTGCATGACAATTGCAATTTCGTTAAAAATATCTTTAGGTTGTAGCCTTAACGAATCCTTCCAACATGTCCTGATAATGAATTTTTAATATGTGCGTTACTAAACCCAGAACCTTCCACCCACACACTAATGACCCACCCTGTATATGGTTAAGTATATCTACAAACGGAACTTAAAGATATCATTTATTATGAATTCTATAATCCGGTAACATGAGTCATCTGAACGAGTTCCGCCAACTTTCTCTTCGGATTATCCATACATTAATGTAAAAAGTCAAAAATCTTAAAATAAAAATGATTTGATAAACTTACTCGATGGTAAAAACATATACATCTTCACAGCAGGTTCATCTCTATGTGACGTTTGCAGATGTTGAGGAAACTTTGCATATAACTTATTGCAATATACGCAGAAGTATTTCCTCGGGTTAGTTTTCTTGTTTTCAGATAAAGCAGTGGCAGGTATGTTATCAAGTACTTGAGCGTTTGAAGTATGAGATGGTGTGATTACCACATTTCTATCATAAGTGAGAGGAGTAGGTTTTCTTTTTTTATTGCACTGTACTTCAGGATTTTCCATCTGGACCAAATTTCTTTTACTCCGTATAGAAACTGTAGCGACAGGACATGCAGAACTAGAATTATGTAAATCATCGATGACATGTGCAACTGAAGCATCAGTTGATAAAGGAGAGGAATGAACATCGTTAGTATCACATTGCCCATCTACTTCTGCAGTAAAAAGCGTATTGATGACGGGGGTAGTCTGTATTGAAGTTCTGGACATAATTTTTAAAGCTGTGCCTTCTGATGTTTCTCCACTAATAAAAGTTGTGTCTTCCAAATCACTAAAAACATCGCAGGTGTTTTGTACGGGATGTGATACATTCGCAATGACAGTGTCTTGCAAGTCCATGACATTTGTTTCTCTATTAATAAAAGTTGCGTCTTCCACTAAAAACATCGCAGGTGTTTTGTACGGGATGTGATACATTCGCAATGACAGTGTCTTGCAAGTCCATGACATTTGTTTCTCTATTAATAAAAGTTGCGTCTTCCAAATCAATAAAAACATCGCAGGTGTTTTGTACGGGATGTGATACATTCGCAATGACAGTGTCTTGCAAGTCCATGACATTTGTTTCTCTATTAATAAAAGTTGCGTCTTCCAAATCCATAAAAACATCGCAGGTGTTTTGTACGGGATGCGATACATTCGCAATGACAGTGTCTTGCAAGTCCATGACATTCGTTTCTCCATTAATAAAAGTTGCGTCTTCCAAATCACTAGGAAGATTCCAGGTGTTTTGTACGGGATGTGATACATTCGCAATGACACCGTCTTGCAAGTCCACGTCATTCATTTCAAAATAATCATTAGAGTAATCTACTACTTTGCCCTCAATAACTAATGGTTCGTTGTGACAAAGCAAACGGTCCATAGATGCAGTAGAAAAATTAGTATTAATATCATACTGTCTATTTTCTTCGGTAAAACGAATAATATCAGGGGAAATGTTTACTCGGGTTCTGGAAATTATTTCCACGGATCCATTTTCTGCATCATAAGTGGAGGGACTAGTCGGATCGAGGGGAATTAATGTAGTTAGACTGTCAGGTGGCGATGTAGTGAAAGCATCAGTTACCAAACCAATTTCAGAGGAACAGTTACTACTGTGTTTTGTTAAAGAAGATGGCAGGGAACTAGATACACCTTCTTGTGTAGCCTTATTAAGGAGAGCGGTTTCTGTAAAGTTATTGTCCTTGTTCCTGCAGGTTTTCACCAAATTTGTTTTGTCTGCAGCAGTAAGCATTAAACGACGTTTAAATGAATTATCATGTTGTATCATGTTGGCAACAGAAACTTCATCTCCTTGTTGTTTGTCGGAATATAATGCTGCAACAACAACCTACATGTAACATGTATTAAAATTTGAATCCTACATAAGACCTTATCCACACATTTTCTAACCTTGCCAGACAGGATGAGTTTTTCCAATGTTTACTTTGGGATCTCCTAAACCATAAGAAATACAAAGTCGCTTAAACGGGCAAAGTTAAAACGTTGTGTCGGTCCATCTCTCTCTAAATGGGGTCCAAGACGAAGTTGTCACAGAATCAAAACCAATATCTCCCCATAAATGTATCGAAATTTATTGAAAATAATGTAAGACATATGTTTCAAACATATCAACATGTTCATTATCAAGTACGGAAAATTAAGTTAACAAATGTCAATCCGTCAATGGGGAAAATTTAAAATTATTACAATACAGGTCAATTAACGAAATGTGTAATTTCAACTAATTCGTTAATTGATATGTATTGTAATAATTTTAAATTTTCCCCATTGACGGATTGATTAATTAATTGATTAATTATTTAAATGATTAATTAATCAATTAATTGATTAATTTTCCGTACTTGATAATGAACATGTTGATGTTCGAAACATATCTCGTACATTACCTAACAAAAAATATATTCAATTTTCAATATATTTATAGGGAGATATTGGTTTTGATTCTGTGACAACTTGGGCAAAGGTATTCAGAATTTTATGATATTAATTTTCCCTTTCAGCACATTTTCGAAAATGACATTTTTCGTTTTTTTTTTACCATAACTTCGCCATTCTAGAGCTACAAGAAACGCTAAAAGGGAAAATTAATCAGAATTAAATCTTCATAACTCTGCCCATTTAAGAGACTTTGTATCTTACGGTTTACACGATTACCATTATAAACATAGGAAAAAAACTTACCCTGTATATTCTGGTACATTTATTGTGCACAACATTGGGACCCAAGTTAAACCACGCAAGTTAAATGGGAAAAAATGTGTATTTTGGAGACAAATTGAATCATGGTATTTTTTGCTTGGGATAGTCTACCTACAGTATAGTGCATAAGTAGGAAAAACTAAAATTGCAGTTTCCCTTCAAAAGTCGAAAGCTACAAAAAACATTATTATGGAAATACTTGTAAGTAAAAATCAGTGGCGTAGTCATTTGAGAGAGAGAAATATGGAACCCCCTGTGTATGTCAATTGTTAACACACTTTGGAAGACAATGAAACTGAATAAAACATATGTGAAATAAAGAATAAAGAAATATTCTGGAAAGTTTAAAATCTTTAACATTTATTATCAATCGTTACTAATGGTTGTTTGAAATTCATTGTCTTTACAAGCTAGTAATAATAAAACGGAAAAATTTGATTTTTTTTGTATAGTGTAACTTTTTAAAACTTTTATTTCTTTATTATTAAAACCGAAGTACTTAGTTAGTTTATGTTAAAAATTTTAAACTTTCCAGCAAACTTCTTATTTCTGTATTCTTTATTTCGCTTACATTTTTCTTTAATTTAAATTATCAGCCTACCGCGTCTCATGAATCTTTGGAATAACATTTAAACCCTTAATCGATTGCAGTTCCTAGATTCCATTTAAATGTTTTATTCATAATTTCATTTTATTTGAAAATATGTAAAAATATACAGGGTGTTTTGTTAGAAGAAAGTTATTTTATTGAATACCTTCATAACCCAATGAGCAATTGGTTTTCTGATACCACATCGCAATCGTGCGAAAAAATGCTTCATATTTCCTAATTTAACTCATATCGTCAATTATGCTAAAGTAACAGGGGTGGGCCTAGTAGTTTACCCGGACACAGTTAAGAACAGCGGTCGGCAACCTGATGCGGTCCGCAAGGCGTCTTGATGCGGCCTGCAACATTCTCGCCGCAACGTAATTTTTATTAATGTATTGTTAAGCTATTATAAACAAAAACTTGCAAAAAATTGCAACCGAGGGGTTGGTCACGATTTATTTTAGGGGACAAAGATTTCCTTCATTACCTAAAAAATGCCACCATTTCCCTTAATTCCCCCAACATTTCAATCATTGCCAAAGAATTCCCAAATTTGTTCCTTAAAGTCTCCATATTGTTTTTCAGAATTTTCTCTAAATTTCCTCTTACTTCCTCAAAATTTCCCTAGAATTTCCTGATTCCTTTGAAATTTCCTCCTATTTCAACAAAATTTTCTAATATTTCCCCAGAATTTTCCCGAAATTTCCTACATGAAGGACAAGAACTTTGCTCGTGAACAACCCCTCGAAAGCAACCGCAAAAAATCTCAATTTTAGTAACAATAAAATATATCGTAAATTTATAAAAAAAGAATATAATACAAAACATAAAAATATACGAGTTTTATTTTTATTATTTTAAATAATATATTTGCATAAAAATATTGTAGGTATACTGTAACGACATGTGACCCAAGTGCGACCCGGACTAATCTCCACGTAAAATACTTCGCGCTTCTACAACAGAAGATTTCCGGCCCCTAAACTATATCAATTAAGTAAAAGTTAAATTAATATGGCTTATTAAACAAATTGCTTTCTCTTTTACGATATTTCGTTTTCTGCTACATTATCACATTTAACAACACAGGGTGATTAAGTCAAATGCACTATGAATTGCTCTATCCTTATTTACTGTTTCTTGTTAAAAGGCAGCATACACATTTTGATAATAGGTTCATAAGTGTGTGAAGTAACAGTAATGACTAATAAGAATATTATCTACATGCACATTTCAATTTGGTAAAATTTACTCAGATAAAGCCTTAGTTAAACTGTAAAATAAACTTACCAACTATGGGTGAACGGTGCACCAAGTTCTCTCGAATATCTTCCAGAATCTTTCGATTATCTATAAGAATTGCATAATTATAGCCAAACGGTCCTGGACCCGGGTATTACATACCGGGTGAATATTTCAAAACCGCGCATAGACAATAAAAGGGGAGTTTCTTTTTAAAGATTATTGCTCCCCATGTTAAAGGGTTTATAAAGACCCCACCGGAAAAATTTTTTTCTAGTCTAATGATATGCAAATTAAATCATTTTCAGTTATATTTCTCATAATTTTATTAGTTTCAAATTGAAAGACTGTTGCATCGCCGTTACAGACTGAATGGAACGCCCCTTAAACGGCACAGAAAACAAATCTGGCACACTACGGTAGGTAATTATTTTTGCTGTAATAGTACATTATACACCTAGGGAATAAAGTGGTATTTTAAATCCCGAGACAAAAAGTTTATGGCCCGACAAACGGGAGGGCTATAATTTGTCGAGGTATTTTAAAACACTTTAGTCCTGAGGTGTATATACTATTTTATGCACTTTAGGAAATACTAGCATGTTTAAGTTTCTGGTTTATTTGTCGATTTACCTAACTTATAGTTACATGCCTTTCGGGTTTGGCATATTTGACTAATAAAATTTTTGAAAATAAATATCTAAATTTAGCTTTTATCCCTAGGGATTTAAAGTAAATTTTAACACTTTTTTCCCAGAAAATAGGGATTTAAAGTACCCTTTAAATATGTTAAATGAATTCCTCCATTATGAGCCTGTTATTTAATATGGAAGGTAAGTAAACTATTCACAGGCTGATTGCAGATATGTTTAAAGACTTTTTTCCTTATAGGTGATCGATTTCGGGTTGAATTTACACCCAAAATCGATCGCCTATAAGGAAAAGTCAGCAATCAGTCTGCGAATAGTTTACTTACCTTCCATACCCTTTAAATCCCTAAAGTGCATTAACGATTTTTATTATATTCTTTCCTTAGAGAAAAACGTATTACAAAAAAATTAATGACAGTTGGCATAAACCGTTTGATTGATTTCGACTTGAATTACATTTGAATCTGCTTTTTGTCTTAGTAATACGGCTTAACATGATTTTGCTAAATGGATTTATTGTCAACTCTTTGCTAAAATAATGTGAAATAGAACTGAAAATTACCTAATTCGTGTCTAAATGAATGAGAAAAAAAAACTTTCGATTGATGCCATTGTAAACTCTCTAAGTTAACATGGAGAGCAACCACCTGCAAAAAAAACTTTGTCCTAAGTTAATTGCCTATGTTCGATTATGAAGGATATTCACCTGGTATATGAAAAATAGTGTCACAGCAACAAAGAAATTGTGATTTAATAAAAAACTGTAGTTTACCAAAATTTGAACTAGGTTACACTCACCATTATAACAGATTATAGTTGATAGATAAAAATGCCCGTCGCACCACCTTGCTAACTTCTGATGTCCATATTGTTTAATGTCCTTTGTTGAGCATACATGGATTACAGAATCTTCCACGTACTTGATTAGCGCAAACATTTTTTGGGAGGAATAAGCATGCATTAATTTAAAAATACTACACTACCTTGGGAAACTACAAAACGAAAGACTACAATGCGCAAAGCTAATTCTACACTACGCTGGCAAACTACAAAACGCAAAGCAAATCCTATAACTACGAGGGTAAACTACAATGGAATCAGGAAGATTTAGCCATAAAGTTTGATAGGGAGGCCATATTCTTTGCAAACAGGACATTCGTAGAGCATTAGTGCGTCAACTCGAACAGGAAGAAATTCCACGCAGTCTCCACAAACGACGTGACAGCAATCCAACCTGTAGGTATTTGTCCGAGTTAGGAATGAGGTGCAACGTTTACAAACGACCAACCCTAAAAATTAAAAAATGTTTCAATGAGGATTTTAAAAGCCGCGAATAAATATACAGTGTGCCCAAGATACGAATGAACAGCATGGGGATATCGAAATCCGTAAGAGATACAAAGTCGGTTAAATTAGACAAAAGTTGCCTATTTTAGAGCTAAGTAAAACGATGTTTTGAAAATTCGGAAATTCCGATTAGTTCCGAAGATATTCGAAAAAACCGAAATTCGCAATATTCGTTTTTTTTTCTGAGGTGATATCAAAACACAAAAAACACTTTGCCATTGGCACTTGTTAATCTCTACAAGACAGCGCCTACGGATTTTCAATACGACGTTTCGTTTCTGAAAATTCATCCTCAACTTTAACTTTTTATATGGACCGAAGAAAAATGTCATCCGGTATATGGTATCCTTTTTGACGACAATTTCAGTGATGTATCACACAATCATTTAATTAGTATTTATATCCAAAAACTTTTGGGCATTGAAACAAACAAAAAACACGAGATTTATAACTTTTTAGTGAAAGTGGTTTAAAACCTAAAATTAACTAAGAAATTTCTTTACTTGATAAAATAAATGATTGTGTGTGATACATCACTGAAATTGACGTCAAAAAAGCTACCATATACCGGATGACATTTTTCCACGTTCCATATAAAGAATTAAAGTTGATGATGGATTCTCAGAAACGAAACGTCGTATTCAAAATCCGAAGGCGCCGTCTTGTAGAGCTTAACAAGTGCCAATGGCAAAGTGTTTTTTGATATCATGTTCAATAACCCCAGAAAAAAATTTAAACGAAGACGAAGGGCGTAAATTTATCTGAGTGAAGAATGCCTTTCTCACGAGTTAATACTTTAATACTTTTTCTACTTGTATTAAATAATTACAACACGCACTGTCCATTTTCACGTAATTTT